GTGCAACCCCGCGAAGATAACAAAAACAACAAAGACTTTTGAAACGAAAAAAATTGAGGTTGAGGGCCAACATTTTAAAACGACAAGTTCTACTCTTGAGGTGGAGAACTCACTTTATTGTGCTGAAGCGTAGCATTTTTTTGTGCAGAGACGGAGTCCGCTCGATCGTTTCTATGGCCAACCGCAGCCTTTTCCCGATGTTTGCTGCTGTGAACGAACTGTCAGGGTGGAGGGCTGAGTGTGTTTCCACCAGGGTTGCTACGATTGCTGGCAAGTTCTAGTTAAAAAGTGAGGTCAGAGGAGGAAGTCATGGCAAAAAGGTCGCAACCTGCTTCTGGTGCTGCTTTCAAGGCAAGACAGTGCATTTGAAACCGCTGCTAGGTGTACTTGATTGTTGAGTGTAAGAATGGCAGGTTCGAAGTGTGCGGAAGACCTGCGCAAAAACCACACGGGGATCCAATTTGGAGAAGCGCGCAACAGTAACAGTTTCAAGTTGCGCGAAGAAACCCTTGCCAGCTGTTGCTTCTTGCTTTGATGGGAAGACTTTGACCGTGTGGGATGCGCGACTGGCAACAGCGCCGCCTTTGGAGCTGCGCATCACCGCCTTGTGCCCAGTTTTGCTGCGATGTTATATCTCAAGAGTTCCAGCGCCGTTTTTGAGGTCCGAAAGCCTCGGAAGGCAGCTGAGTCCAAATCCAATGGAGCAAAGTTGTTTCATGGAAAGAAGACATTTTCCACTTGGAGCTCCATCAGTAGGGGCCTTGTTTACAGATGTTTAGGTTGTGGCAAATAGCATCCGTGTTTTGCTGAGGATGCTTTTCAGGCACAACCACTGCCGCTGAGAAGGAACCCTCGGTCCGTGCCATCTCAGTAGCGGGCTCATCAAACATGTTTGGTGTTCGTTGGCCATGCTTTTTTCTGACTCAGGATTTGGGAAACCAAATCAGATGGTCCAAGCAGTACCAGCAAGAGATGGTTCAGCATAACCTCAAACCTGGAAAGTATGTGAGCCCAGAGGCGGCTGAGTGGTTTTCAGGCTGGTGTGTTTTTTCCAAGTAAAACTTTCGCTTTTCGTTTTGCACTTGGCAGGACTTCCCCGCAACTGGACCAAGCCGGTCCCCAGATGCGTTGACCGGAGCATCTTCAAACAGATGTTCCCCTATGCTGCTGGCACCGTTCTCCTGGCTTGCATTCACTTGAGCTAGGAGTCTGTCAAAAGTTTATTTTTGACAGGATGGCAAAGCCGCTGTCATCAGCATGTTCAGTGGCATTGGCGGCTTGGACCTCGCCATGAGCCAGTCGTCTCCTCAAAGTGCACTGCAGTGGTTTGCAGTGAAAACAAACTGATGGTTCAATGGAAGTCGTTCGTGGGTGGTGGCTCCGAGTCAGCAACTGAGACAATAGCAAAACAACGGCAAAACGCATAACAATAATGTAAAACATCGCATAACACTCTTTTTCTAGCAGCTAGATGTGGCACGGTTTTGTGGGTGTGGTTGACACGACCAATGGTTGGTTTGCCAAAAGCTGCGCCGACTTCCGAAGCAGCAAGTCCCTCGTGGGCACACGTGCGATGTGTTGGGATCAACCAGATCAGGCTGGGACCTTTTGCCAATGGGCTAAAACAGATTCTGACATCATCATTAAACCAGGATTCCTACAGGGACACCAGTCTTTGCCAATTGGCGCGGCCAGCAGTTGGGAGCCCAGGAGTATACCGCACGCGAAAAGTGTTGTACGCAATATGTTTTTTGCAAGCGAGGTGGTTTTGGTCGTGGGAGGGCCGTTGCTGGCTTACAGTGGGCAGCGTGCAGAATGAAATGGTGGCCCCAAAGTCAACTGCAGCCGCTCCTGGCATTGATCGAGTTTCCAGGTTCAATTTTGATGTGTCCTTTTGCTCCCCCATGAAACAACAAATGTGTTGAGTTGTTGTTTTGAGGCTCCGATGACCCATGCAGATGGCAGTTGCAAGAGACCGCGCAATGACCGCTAGGTGGTAAAAACAATGAACGTTTCACTTGAGAGATGAGGCTTGCGCTCAACTTTCCCAGCCTCTCTACCCTTGGTTGTGACTTGTTTCCTCGATTGTTGGGTGGCCGAGGTGGTGTTACCCAACGGCATATGCCGCGGGCTGAGCATCAGGTCAACGGCTAGCTTCAGCTTGGAGTTTCGTTCTCAATGTGTTGTTGTGGTAGCACTTTTCATGTGAGCTTTCACCCAGTTGAACCCACCAAGATGCTGGTTAAAGCCATCGTTTTGAGGTGGAGCGTGATGAATTTTGCAGATCGGTTCTGACATTGCGGATGGAAGACAAGTTGCTGCACCCTGCCACTGTGTGGCCAGACGTGACGACGTTTGAGGGGAAGAATTGCCCCAACGCAGTTGGAGTTGGAGGAGGGTTCCCTTGCCAGGCCCGGGTGAAAGGGGCAAAGAGTTGAAATTGCAGGAGTAATATGGAGTAATAGTGATTGATTTGCAATTCATTTCGCATTCTTTTTTGGCAGGGAGTCAGTGGCGCAGGAATGCAGAAAGGACTTTTTGATTGCAGAACCGCTCTTGTATCACACATCTTCCGGGTGTACGATACTGTGCCCTCACCGTTCTTCAAGCAGCAGTCAGTAGTTTGTATGCTTTGAATGAGTCTGCAATGTGCGGAAGTGTAGCCCGCAAAGCCCAAGGCAATTTTTGTTCATGGAAAACGTAAAAGCAATCCTGGAGCACGACAAGGAAGAGAATATGCGCGCTTTGATGCAGTATATCATCCAGGTTCCAGTGCGTTGACGCTTTCAAGTTCCCAACGCGGTGGAAGCGAGTCCCATTGAACCGTTGTTTTGAGTTTTGGTCGCCGCAGGAGTGTTCCAAGCGGTCACTAGTTCTTCACTGGACGACAACGATGTTGAAGCACGTTGGACTTCCAGCACAGACCTTAGTCTCACTGCGCTAGGTTCACATGTGAGTGATTTTTAAAACACGCTCTCGCCAGGCCCGCCGTTCTCGCGTGTTCTTCTTGGCGCACAAGCCTGGATGCAACCTTTGGGAGGACAGCTGTGTCCTGATGCAGATCACCGCTCAATTGCAAGTCTTGCAGGACATTGAGCTTCGCCCGCTCTCTTCTTTTTTCCAGGAGAAGTTCAACGCGTGGAACGCATTGCCTATGCGTTTGTGGTTGGTCAGGGAGTTGGATGAGCATTACCGCGCACGCATGAAATCGCTTGGCAATGTTGTGGTTCCAGCCACTGGTGATTTGGGTTGGAACTTACTTCATAGATTGCGGGCTTTGTCACAGTAGCAGGCAGTCAGTAGGTTTGGGAGATGGGCTGGGATGCTTCCTGTACTTTTTTTTTGTGTGTAGATTGAGACTGTGTGTGGTACGTTGATTACAGGAAGTCTCAAGCTTGCTGTGTAGAGATGCCCGGGTTTTCATCCAGGCCAGGAGCAATTCGTAATCTCATGCAAATGCAGATCTTGTCTTGGGGCAGCGACGAAAAGTTGTCAGAGCCCCGTCATGTGAATGGTGCTTCAGATTAACGTGCCAACTGTTTTTCTATAAAACAACAAAGAGACCAGGCCGCTCAATCCAAAAAGGCTGCTCAAGGTTCAAAACCGGAAGCACAGTTCCGCCAAGCTCGTGGTTCTCTGTCGACATGACTCCCCGCTCGCTCTCCGCCGCTTCTGATCCACCCCGTGCTGTTGACGCCAGAGGCCAGAGTTCCCAATTTTCACATGGTGTCCCACGGTCCGATTCATATTCAAACTCAAGTACCATCGGTTTTCCCTCGCCGAAATTGTAGGTTCCAAATTTGCGGACGAGTCCTCGGAGCAGGGTTTTTCGAGCAGCCCGACATTGGAGCCTCAGCCCACTGGTTCTTCTTTTCACGTCGTGAACGGCACTTCTTTGATGCAGGTAGCTGTCGTTTTTTGAGTTTTACGCATAACGTCACGGGAAGTTGGAACCGTTCTTTGTGCATGGCAGGCAGTGGAGTCCAAGGGCCTTGTGGCACGCCCTGACACGGTGGTGTTGCGTTTTTGTACTTTCGAAGAAGGTGGCGCAACCAACCTCTAATATCATCGCAGGCAGCCAACTTAAAAGTCAAAAGGCAGTCGCAATTTGTAGACAGGAAAATAGTCCAAACCGTTTCGATTGTCAGGCTCGCTAGAATGCATCAGTGCCCGGCGTTGTTGCTACTTGCACGCTCGTGCTACAGAGCCGGCTCGGTGCGCGAGCTTCAGCTTACACTTGCACTCAGCTTTTTGGAATTAGGATGGTAGGAAGAACGGCTGACCAATCAAGTCAGCCTTTTGCCACCTGAGGATTCTTTTGCGCAACGCCATGTTGCTTCCTGACATCACCCTTGGTGATTCTTTTGAATCTGAGACAGATAAGGGTTCTGTATATTTTTGGAGCAGCAAGTTTCAGACATGTTGGCCCGACATTTGCTTGGTGCCAAGTGCAGAGCTTCGTGTTGACGAATGCCCGGAGCCTTCAGCAAGGGGAACGGCTATCTCAGGGATGCCAGTTGTTTTGTTGCCAGTGATGAAGTACATTGGTTTGCTGAAGGGTTTGAAGAACTTCGATTCTACCAGTAGCTTGAATCCGCAGTCTACGCTGTGTATTTGCATTTTGGATTTTGCAGACTAATCTGGGGATTCTGTTTGTGGTTCTTCGCCCAGGTATGTGGAGCGCATCAGCGACTGCGCAGGCAAGCCAGCTCATTCACCACATCAAATGAGTGAGCAGCGGCCTGAGATGCATCATCATAATTTTGTCACGCTCTGGTTTTGTCAAAGTTGCTGGTCCTAGTCGTTTCAGAGAACACGCAAGGATGTCCGTGTTGGAGAAAACAAGTTTGGTTGAAGGAAACGGGATGAAAGCATACCTGTACTGTTGCTTTGTGTATCAAGTAGTTTGAAGGGAAAACCGCTGCAAGTGCCCAGCCGCCTGACTACTTGAAGCTTTTTTCTCAAGAGCCCAACGCGTCATCAACCCAAAGATTTGAGGCATGCTGTCAATTGATGCGGCAATGCAGGTCCTGGCTCACGCTTTCCGACAGCGGCTTTTCTTGAACCCGCGGCCTGAGAAAATCCCAACCTATTGCCTCTACGTGACAACTATGTTGTCGCTTGTGCAAGCTTTCTTGGACACTGTGCCAATTGACTTTCCTTTGTTGCAGTGGTGGGTGCAGCAGGCCCAGAAGACGACTGCGCTTGCCATTGGACGCTACGCGTTGAAGCAAGACCCAGTTGAGTCCACGACAATTGTTCCCGTCCCTCAGTATACCATCCTGAGGTATCATGAGTTTGTGAAACAGCTTTTTGAGGAGCTGAAAAACAACGTCCCCAAGGTTGCGCAGTGGGCCGTGTTTCAGACGGTGGATGAGGGCTTGAACTTGGATAGTGTCCTACACTCCATCATTTCCACGTGTCAGGAGTTTGACGCCGCTGAAGAAGTGCTGGTAGTGACAAGGGCCTTTGCTGTGTCCCTCACAGAGGAGATTGTCAGCTTGCAAATGAAAGAAGGGACTAATCTGACTGATTGCCCCTCACCTAGTAGCACGCAAACCGCTGCAAGCTAAGACTTTGGCAGCGACATCCCAATTCGATTTTGGGTCGATATGCGCATAGAGGTAAAACAGAAATGTGGATGGGCTCTAGATGTGCCAGCCTTTGTGTGTGAAGGAACCCTTCAGAAGTCGAAGGCAAAGTCAAACATGCCCTACAGTGTTTTTATTCCTGATCTCTGACCTTGCCGGCTCTTGTTCAAAACTTTGGAAAGCACACCTTTACAGTAACTTTGCAAACAGTGTGATATTTATAGCACGATGGGTTGAATGTTTTCTCTCAACCTGACCTTTCTCTCACTTTCCACATGCCTTTTCGTGTCAGTGTTCCTCTTAGCCGCGCGCTAAATGCATTTTGCCGATGTGTCGGCTTTGAGTGATGATGACGAGGTCGGTGCAGCGCCCACCGATGTGGTTGTTGCTGCGTCCATAGACAGGCCCCCGGGGGCCCAAACTCTCCGCAAACGAAGACGGTCGTCCTTTGTCCAACACTCTCCAAAAGCGGTAGCGTCCGATGAAGAGCTCGCCAAGAAGTTGAATCGAGATTGCTCGTGCAAGAGGAAGACATGTTACCGCCAGTTCCTCGAGAATGGGCACTTCCAGGAATACAAGACCTTTCTGCAGCAATGGCTAGAGCTGTCAAAAATTGATCAAGACAACATCGCTTCTTGACCTAGAATGTTTTGCAGGGCTGGACTGTTGTTCTGGCCACCCGGTGTTGAGGCCGTCTTGTTTTGCCATTGCCCTCCCTAGGCTTTCAACCGCTTGAAAGAATTGCGACTTGTATCTGGTGAAGATTTTTGTACTGGGTGGCAATTGCTTCGACTTGATACTTGCCGCAGAGCTTGGCGAGGTCTTCACAATTTGGGCACCTGGGTGTAAATTGGAAATTAACGTTTACATTTCCACTCAATTTAGCAAGTGGCACTGGGAAATTGCAGTGACCTTGAGAAAAGGCTCTCTCAAGTCCTTAGCGACCCCCCCCCTAAAGGACTTGAGGGTGCCTTTTTTGTGGTTGAGCATTTCTTGGAGTTTTTAGCTGGCTAGGCATCATTGCGTGTAGGTAAAAACCACAACGACGCTAGCTTGAAACAGCGAGCAGGTGGACGCAGATTTGAGAAGCTTTGGTCAAGTGTCCGTGATGGCCACCATGCGCCCCCAGTGGATCTGCGATACTTGAAAGGCCCTGCAGAGCGCGTCGGTTGTACTACCAATGCTCAGGTGCGAGGCGACATAGTGGCCTTTTTGGAGTCTCTGTATGAGAGCGTTGCCGAAACGTTACCAGACTTCCGCGACGAGCTGGGTGATGCTTCATCAGTGCAAATTTCAGTTACAGATCCATATTCACAAGAGCTCAGGAAGCAGCAAGCGGAAGTGGTCGATCCAGCCGTTTTGCCAGGGAAGAAGCCTCGCAAGAGCAAACGGCAAGTGGGCATCAATCAAGCCAGAACATCAGCTGAGATTGAAGAGAGGTGGCTGCCGCCCGGCACCATGAAAGAGTACTTCGACCAGTACGTTCTTCAATCTTCGCTGGAGAAGCCGGGAAGCTTTCCAACTTTTTGGCGAGTTCCTTGACGGGGTGTTGACAAACTTTGCTTAATGTTTTGTGCAGATTGCTTTTACAGAAAATTAAATCAGCCGCAGTCCCAATCTATCCTGCCCTTTTCACAGCGCGAGCAGGTTTGGCTGTCTGACTTTAGTTACTTGCAGATTCGCGCAAGCAGCCAACATGCGCAGTGCGCAACTTGCATTCGCCACCGGCACATGATCAAATCGTTGGGACACCACCTTGCCGCGAGACAAGACCAGCAGCATCACTACTGGCGCCACCTTAGAGATCAATACGCAGATCGATTGGTGTATTACAAGAATCGCGGTTTGTCGAGACTGAAGAACGGTCGCTACGTCCTGATGATCCAGGACGGTATGGACCAGGGGAAAGTGGCGCTGCCACGTTCCCCCTGGATGAAGTCCAAGGAGTACGCAACATTTCAACGACCCAAACTGCACCTTAGCTTGACGCTTTGCCACGGCTATTTGATGCTGTGGTCGATCTCAAATCCTGACTGCAAAAAGGATTCAAATGCATCAATCGAAACCATTGCTTACACCTTACATTTGTTGGCGACACAGGAAGGGGTGTGTCTGCCTGAGTGCCACATTGGCATTCAGGCAGACAACACCCCGCGCGAGCTCAAGAACAACCCGAGCTTCCGCTTTATGGCGGCGCAAGTGAGCGCGTCCAACCTCAGGGCCTGCACAATAACTTTTCTTCGTTGCGGACATTCCCACGAAGACGTGGACCAATGCTTCGGCCGTTTGGCACGTCACTACGCAAAGATCCAGTGTGCCCAAACACCACAAGATTTTGTGGCCTCGACTGTTGAGTTTTCTCGGAACATGAAGAGGCCCCATGAGACCAAGTCACATGTCATCAAGATGAACGATACACGTGATTGGAGCCAAGGCTTTGCTTAGAGCATTTTAGGGGTAATACATATTGAATACACTTGTATTTGTTCTCGTGCCAAAGCATGACCGATCAGGAAAGGGTGGCACAGTGGAACGGTGCCGTTTCAGCTCACCGGAATTGGCGGGCCTGGAGCACCGCATGAGTTTACATTTCGGAGATGTGACGACCCAGAATTGCAAGGTGTGCACATTGAAAACACCGCTTGGGGATATCAACTCCATCCCCACGATGTGATAGTACTGCTCCTAGAAATCTTAACTGGAAACTTTTGGGTGTTTGTTATGACGTGGGCCCCAGCCACATTGCTCCCTACAGGGTCCAAGATATTGCGAGAACTTAGTGGAGTTCTGGTTGAAATCATTTAGTTTCCAAGTTGCAATAGCAAGGACAAAGCGGTTCATGGCCAGCAAAGAGTATGACAAGGCAATTTTGGTATATCCGAGATTCCTTGCGCTGGAGAGGATGCCTTTGGGAATACCCACAGGCGGGATGGGAAATGAAAGAGAAGGTTGTTATTATTTTTTATTACGCAGAGTTTACAAGACAGTCAGTGGTCCCAGTCGGTTGTTTTGTTGTTGAGCCGCCTGTCCCTGCAGTGATTTCCGAGAAGCGTGATCTTGGCGAAGAATACAAGAACCACGTGGAGAAGTTTGCAGCGATGTTGGCAAACCCATTGTACGGATTGGAGGAGTCTGGGCGGTGGCTCCGAGATTGGATCCGCAACACGCTGCCAGTGGAACCTTTGCTCCCGGTTTCTGCGTCCTTTGGATTTAGTTCAGAGGGCTTTGAACATGTGTCTACCCTTGCTTGCTTGCACAGGGTGGCAGGGTGGAGGCAAAGTTCATAGTAACTACAAAATTAGAGCTTTTCCGTTTGCTGCAAGGGCCAAGCAACACTGTTTTGCTACGCGCCAACTCGAGCTTCAGGAGTATCATTTCTAGCGGCCCTCATCCGCGCGAGCTTGCAGACGGGTTGCCTCGAGCAGACCCTTTTGCGGTCGATCCCAACGTCGTCAAGCTCTTTGCCCTCCAAAAGCAAAACTTTTCAAGGTGGAGGGGGCTGTGACATGACGGCGTTACGTTCCCATTTGTTTTTGTCAATCAAGGTTGGTCAAGTCCACCGGACAGAAGGACGTGTCTGATTACGTTCGCAGAGCTAGAGTTTCTATCGCGTTCCAAGCTGCTGCAAGGGCATGGTCCTTTGGTGTCCCTTGGGGTGAAGCTTTGAAAGCCGCGACTGATGCCACGGCTGCTGCCCGTCGAGTTGTGCCGCCGCCAATCCGTGGTCGGAAAGGTGGTGGCAAGGGAAAAGGACACCTTCCTGCCAAAGGCAAGGGAAAGGGTAGAGGTAGGGGAAGTGGTTGACTTCCTTGGCAAACAACCATGCCTTTCACGCAGGACAAAGAATTCGCGGCGTGTTGGGTCTCCAAACCCGCAACCAAGAGTTTGGTTGCTGTTGTCTAGAGTCTAAAGTGTTCAGCAAATTTCGAGACTCTTATTTTTGCAATACTGTTGTCATGTTTCCGGCACCTACCCAACATGATCGGTTTAGGATTTTACAGGAACATGGCTTAAAAACGCAACCCTAAACCCTAAACTCCAAAAATTTGCTGGCGGCAATTCGCTTTACGGGGTTATTTTTGATTAAGAAAGTCACTGCTGGTTGGTTGCGACGCACTGCTGGGTAGTGACCGATCCGAGGTTGGATTGGTCACTTCTGCTGGGTGTGGGGGTTGATGGGTTTGGAACCGATTTTGAAAGAATCAGCCACCTGCCTTGCGGTGGCTCCCAGTGACGAATCCTACCTTGGATCGGTCACCAAAACTAGACTTACAAAACAATGGCTCCAGTGACGGATTTACTTGTCAGCATGGTTGGCTGAAGTCAGGTTTAGTGGGTGACCAATCCTTCAAGTTTGCTTGGTGCAAGTGGGTGATATGTGACCAATCCCAGGTGTGATCAGTCACTTCTACAGGGTCAACGTTGAGGGGATCAGTTTGCAATCAAGAATTGCTGTTTTCAATGATGGATTTCACATCGTTTAACATTTGGGTCAGGCGCGTTGAGGTTGAGAAGTGACGGATCCTACCCTGGATCGGACACTTCCTTGTTTCGGGAGCAACAGTCTGGTTGCTGATGCCCGGAAGTGACGGATTATGATGTTGCAGGTAGGGTAAAGTGACGGATGTGGATGTTGCACATACGAGAAGTGACGGATTTTGGATGTTGTGGGCAGGGTAGAGTGACGGATCTGCAGGTTGCATGTAGGAGAAGTGACGGATTTTCGCTGTTGTAGGTAGAGTAAAGTGACCAATTTTTGGGGCGGAGACTTGACCAGTTTGTTTTCAAGGGTGCAAGCCACTTGGAGCAAAACGATGGACCTAGATGCTGGAGGAAAGTGATGGTTTAGCGCATTGCAAGCAGGCAGCAGGCGGGTGGAATGACAGGTGCAAGTGTTGAGGCCAGGACAAGGTTTTAATGTACTATGAAACCAAGGGACACGCCTGTCACACTTTGAACGGAGGGATTTGACAGCTCAAGCCGGCCACCTCAAGCGCCACCTTGGAGCATTCATGCCAGCCAAACGGAAATCTGGTGGAGGCACTTCGGCCAAGGACAAGGTGCCAAAGCTTGCGCCCGAGGTGTTGGAAGAACACCCCCATATCCCCAAACTTGTCGCGTGGTTACTTGTCGGTGATGGCTTTTGTTTGTGGACGTGTTTTGCAGCAACATCAGAGCTTCACGCTTCACGATGCCAGAGAGTGAATTGCGAGGCTGAATGAAGTGGTTTTCCCACAGGGCGGTCCGGACAAGTACCTCTCTGCGAAGTATGGTACACAGGCCGAACGTTTGCCCATGGCTTGCGGGCTGAACGTTTCCCTATATTTGTTTGACGAGTGATTGTGTTGATGAGACTTTTTTCCCACAAATAGTCAGGAAGAGATGATTGATTTTGCAACGTGGATCGACACGTTCACGCCAGGAAGCTCAAGGCCGATCAGCCATGAAGTGTTGGGTATCCGATTTGTGGTTCTAGATTTTGTCAATCTTTTTGTGGAGCCGGGTGATTTGCAATCAGTTGTGCAAGGATTGAGTACGCTACCAAGTGCGACGGTGCCCAGTTCCTACGACCGTGGATGTTGGGATGGCGATCGGACTTTGGCTGCTCAGGATTTTTGGAGCCTGACCAAGCTTCCATGATCCTTGAGTTGCTTCTGTCCGAAGGGACACTGAGCTGTGCAAAGTAACTAGATGTTTGTTGAACCATTTCGCGCGGCTTCGCATCAGTTGTCTCATGTGGCAAGGATGATGACCGACCCCAACATGGTCGGAGTGGAGAAGCTATCCACCACTGTCGTGCCCAAAGAATTCCTGGATTCTCCTTACCGTGAGTTGCCGGCAGCCATTGGAGGAACCGGCCATGCGCTGTCGCTTCACGTGGCAGGGTTCTCATTGTTTGTGATTTTGTTCATGCCTCCTGGCCAGGAGCACACCTCCTACCTCCATTTTCTGTTGGATATTGCAAGGGATGGAAACGCGCAACAATGTGCCTGATTGCTTTGCAGGGAATCCGTGAATTTAAGCTGGAGAGTGCCATCGTGCACCGAGTCAAGGTAGGAGTTTTCAATCGGCTCGCCAGAACCGTGCTTGCTGTGCCATGACGGTGTGTTAAGGACTTGTCCTGAACTTGTTTGTGCCGGCGAAGTCAGGCCAGCTTTGCCACAATCCATGCTTCCTTCATCAGCTTCAAGGACGTTCGGGCACAAGTCAACGCCAATCGAGGCTGCTGCAAGAGTGTGGCGCGGGGGAGTTTTCTGCCATGAAATGAAGTGTGGGGTCCCGACCAAAGTTCATTCTAAAGTGTAACACTCTTCTTTTAGGCCTTGCAGACATTTGGTCACTGACATCCTTTGAAGCAGCCAACTTTAGATGTTTCTGTTTGTGCTGTTTGTACTTACAGCTCCTTACCGGGCAAAATTCAATGGGGATGCGCTAGGCTTTTTTGCTGAGAGCTGTAATGAATACTCCCTTTCTTGAACCATGAGTTGTGGTCTTTGATTATTAGCTTGCCAATGGCACTGGCAGGCGCCAGCTTCGTGAGCACGCAGACGCGAGTGCGGCCAAACGCATTTCATTTCAGGCGGCAAGTGCTTATTCTCCAGCGAGCTGGCGCCGGGTCGGCTGAACGTCAGTTCAATGTAACTTCCCTTGCAGCGCAGCAATCCTTTGAACCGTGTTTGTCAGCCAGTTCTCAGACCGAAGCTCATCTTAGAACTGGACTGAGTCGTATCTCAGGATTGGGAGCAGTCCACCTCCATTGCCCGTGCATTTAGCATCGGCCGCACCGAAGCAGAGGCAGTGTCAGCCCTAATGACAAAGGTGCAGAAAGAGGTGGCTGAGAGGCTGTGCGCAGCTGTCAAGAGCCGCGGCATGGCCAAGCTCCTCACTCACGATTTGTTGTCCAAAGGGCTTTTGAACCTTGCTTGGACCAGTGGAATTGGACCAACAGAAGCATGGAAGGAGGAGCTTCGGAATAGAGATGATGGTGTGCTTGTTCCTTGAACTATTTTCATTGGCGCAGTCGCCGACGGGGTTCACGTCGGGAAGGGCTAAAAGAATGTAAGGGCTGGTAAAATGTTTGTTGGTTTATCTATTAGATATATAGTATTCTAATTTGTTTGTTAGTTCGGTTTATGGTTCCACTGGAAGTAGGACAGTCTCAGTGCATTTGGCATGTGGTTTACTCCTAAAAGCTGGCGACATGCCTGTTACTCCCTCAAACTCAGATGCCGGTTGTTGCGCAAGGTTAACCTGGTGGTGGATCGCATTGTGGGTGACCATGACAAGGCTTTGCCCACGATGAGGAAAGCAGTGAACTTCAAGGAGGGTCTTTTGCTTCACCAAGCCGCCGGGCTTTTCCTACACTTCCTTCGCGCTCTTCAGGGTGTGAGCCCTGCAGGGTCCTTCACGGACGCGCGTTCGAAGTTGGAAGACCAGTTCCGCCAAGGGTTTTTAGACCCAGATCTCCAACATGTTCTCCAAGTTTCCGTGCCGCCGGGCGACCCCAAATCAATCGCCGCTTTCAGGACTGAGGTTTGAATTATTGAAAGTTTTCAACTCTTTGTGTTTGTGTCGTGAGGGTTCACTCCAATTTCTCGTCGGGTTCCCTGTCCAGGCCTTTCTTTGCTCAGATTGAATGCACGCTCAGATCCGAGAAGGAAGCGAAGGAACAGCTGCTTCAGAAGCAACTCCGAGAGGCTGATCTCAACACAGTTGCCGCCCAGATCCTCTCTGACTTTGCCGTGCTTGAGAAGATGGCTCCAGGTCCAACCCGTCAAGCAGAAGAACATGCTTTGGACATGAAATACTTGAGGGACAGACAAGCGCCGCTCAGAGTAGTACGTTCACGTGACCTTTTCATCCTTTCTTGTTTTAAAGGGTTGAGTGGCAATTTTCCTCTTGGGTTGGCCAAGGACGGGGCCACGATGCAAGAAATGCGGGCCCCAAATGAGGTACATCATTTGCACTGTAGATACCACCGTGTTCCCGGCTAACGCCAGTTACATTGCGGCTGCCTTGAAGAATTTTTGCACATTCCTGTCCATGGGATCTACCACCGTTGGCTTCGTTCTCTTCCCAGTGTACCAATCGCAGACATCAGAACAAGCCTTAGTGAAGCACAGACATCAACTTGAGCTGGCTTTGCTCAAGGGAGGCCTCTCAGTTATCAATTCGGTTCAAGTTCTGTACACCAAACCTGAAAGCGGCGCTTCGGACAAGCGCGCATTGGCGCAACCCGCAATGGCCACTTTCCATAGTCACTTCAGCGATCACGCGTTCCTGAAGAGCAAGCCTGTTCGCACCGGCACTCTGGGCCCTGTACCCCTCATCAAGTTCAGTGAGCTTTTGGGCTTTGACGACGTGTCCAAACCCGGCGCCTCTGCGAGAGTGGAGCAGATACTCAATTGGTTTTTAGTAGATGTTTGAAATGTGGATTCCCGTTTTTTTGAGACGCGCCAGCCTCCAGCGCAAAGATTTTGTTTGGATTTGGTTGTAGTGACTCCTGTGCCAGGAAGGGAGTGCCTTGCCATGAGGAGATGATCCAAAGCTTGTTGGATGGAGTCCCCATTGATGACAAGGACACTGTCATCCTGCTAGATGTGGTTCCGAACAGGCTTGGGGTGTTATTGAAAAAGAATCAAAGCATTCGCTTGTTACACTCAGGGTTTATCTCAATGTTTTGTTTCAATTTGGGAGGGTGGGGCCGACAAATTTCCTTTCGCCGGAGTGAAGGGAAATGTGTGACGCGGGTTTGCTGAGTCTGGCGGTGTCATTTACAAAATGCAGGTTCAGCGAATTTGGGCGCGCTGCTGTCAACATGAACTTGCGCGGCGACGGGCCAACCGTTCACTATTTTGGTTTGATTCAGCAGGAGTACAAGACCAACTTGACCGCTGTCAAATCCATGGTGTACAAGAAGTGGGATGAGGACACCAATTTGAGCCCACCAAAAACACGACCCCTGCGGGAGAGCTCAGCCGCCGCAGCAGCAGTGCCAAGTCTGGACATTTTGGCTTGGGCCAACGACCGGCCTGTTTTCCCTGCTGTGCTCTTGACCAAGTTTCCAGAGGGCACAGCAGAGCACGCGAGAATGTTGGAACTGAAGAAAGATTTTGATGAGAAGTACCCCGAGGCTTCCCAGCCACCACCAGCGGTGGGCTCCGGAAGAGCTGGTGGGGTCTGCGATTACAGTGTCGACGGAGGCCGACATCCACTAGACTGCACCCGTGTGATCGATCTCCCGCTCGTTGGAGCTGACAGTTTTGGAGAGACCAGGCTCAGGGGAGTCGCGTTTGTTTCAATTCACTAGCAATCATTTTCCTGAAGTTATTTTTCCTGGCAAGAGTAAGGAAACGGGTTTTGTAATTGTAATTTGTACAACTCTTTTTGCACGCGTCATAAAGCAGTCTGTTGAGTGCAATGCTTCGCAGGAAATCTGAGTGTGCTCTCACAGGCAAGAAACCGGCGATCGTCATATGCGACAGCTTCGCAGTTTGGTTGGGGAACACCACTGACGCTGATATGACGCTGGAAGCTGGCGAACTTTTTGGCTTTGGCCGAGGAACGTATGAGCACAAAGTAGTAGGTAACCCACTCAGTTGTCACACGCCAACAATGCTTCCAGACAGGAGTGCACCGGTTTTAAAGCTCAATAGGAGGGTGTTGCAGCCAGACATTGATCCTGGCCTCAGGTGACGCCAAGAGCGAAACCCATGGAATCCCATGGCGCTTGACGAGCGACTTCGACCTTGTCAGCTACAAGAAGGTCATCATGCCACTTTGCCAGCTTCTTCGAAAGTTGGCGATTGACCAGGGCCTGAGTGAAATTGAAGTTTGCGACCACGTGCTGAAACCACGACTGGTTGCTTGCCAGTCAATGTTTTGTTTCGATGTTGGCTAGTGTGATCATGTTGCGTACGTTTTACTGCAGACCAACGCACGCGCTTGGTCAATGTCGCGCTGCGACTAAATCACGAGACTTCGAACATATTTCAGGGATTGTCAGCGTAGATCCAAATTCGAAAGCATCAAACACTGCGTATATCACAAACAAATCAATAAGGCAAACGCAAAATTACTTTCAACCGCCCACGCCGGGTACGCCCTGCACATGTCAACATAGTATCTGCAAACGTGAATTAAACTAGGCCGCGCGGACATAGTGTTTGTTATTTGCAATCAAATCTGAAGGTCAATAAACATAGCATAGAATAGACTGTGCGCCAAGTAAGACTCCTGACCTGTGTGCCCAGCCAGCGGGTTTTGTTTCAGTTTGTCCACTCCGTCCCTTTTCGGTTTGCGCCCTCAAATAGAACAAATAGGAGCTGAAATGACAGGCAATGCTGGAGGTATGTTCTCAGGAAAAATTTTTAAGGTGTTCGTATGTTGTCAGTATTGACAAGCGCCACAATGTAAGGTGGGTTTTGATAATAATCTGGTTCTGGGGGTGATGTTCATGGTGACCACAAGTTCGGCCATGGGAGGGGTAAAGAGCAGGTGCCGCGTAGCAGCTCCAGTAAGACATTGATCGCGATGACGATGTTTCTCGCGCGTTGGCTGTGGGGTTTGCAGGTTGTAAGAAACCCGATTTGCAACATTTTTGAAACTAGACAGCTCCTGGCTGCCAGGCTGAGGATGGTGTCTTGCCAATTTGTTTCCGCTATGTGATCGCACCGGTGGAGTCGAAGGCGACCAACGTGTTCAAGCCTCAGCCAGCCGGTGATGGTGGAAGCGACCCTGTCCGCCATCAAACGTTGGGTAGTAGCCTCGCCGGTAACTTTGACAAGCTGATCGGCAACAAGCGAGCAAGCCTGGTGTGGGAGGTTACTAAGCTATGCGTTTTGTGACAGAAGAAATTTGACAGCAGTCTTTTTACCTGGAGGGGTTGAGTCAAAGACATGTTCAACACGCTTAATCCCAAACAACTGGGGAGATGATGCTACGACTTCTACGACTATCCAAGTTAGTTTCTCGATGGTTCTCCAATGCCCTGGCGGCTGCAGGTGGACATTGAAACGTCGCCGGGGCGACTGGTAGCCACGAAGCCCAAGATTTATTTAACGTGCGGCTTTCGCCTGCCGTCCAAAAGCTGGGTGAACCTGTCAGCCTAATGACCGCTCAGCGTTTTGAGCGCCGCAAGAGGCTGACCTCCGGTGCTGTTTTGTGTTGATCATTGGTGTGTTCAGTTTACAGTATTCATCCTATTGTTGTTTGGTTAAAACAATGGTGGCCTTGATGAGCGGCTCAAAGAACTTGGTAGCTGGCCTTTTTGACTCTAAAGCTGGCAGTTCACGGATATTTTGGAACCTAATCTGTCTGCAGGCAAAAGCTGTTACATGGTGTGGCTCACACTGAATGCTGCGCACTCATGTCCCATGTTCTGGGTTGTTAAGGTGTTCTTGAATGCGCCGGCTATTTGCAATGCTTTTAATGTCATCTCCACCCCTTAAGGGCAAACGCGGTTCAAGCTAACTCTGGCCTGAGCTGGTCCAGTTGGGTGACGATGGTTATCTTCGGCAATGTTACCACTCTGAGCGGATCGGAGGAAGAGGCGAACGGTTTGTAGTTTACGTCGTTTTTTGGGTGAGGGGTTGCCAAACGCACAAGATGGGTTGGTGACACATCTTTGCAGGCCCAAGGAGCTCCTTCGGCGCCTGTATTCAAAAGGCCTGCGGCCAAGAATCAGTCCGATTCTTCAGCCCCCACACCTAAACCGAAGGTGTTGCCGAGAAAGAAAGATAAAACAGATAAACCACAGGCTAAGGTTAAGCCTGCTGTTCAGAAGTTGAAATCAACCGCAAACTTGGGAGAGGAAAGCCAGGTTTTTGAAGGTGAGCGCCAGGACAACGAACAGGTCGACGAAGTAGAGGAGGAGGAAGTAGAGGAGGAGGAAGTAGATGAGACCGTGGAAGGGGTCCCAACTCAAGAGGGAGCAGAAGCAGAAAAGGTCATGAAACGACCTTCTGCCTTGAAGCGCCCTGCAGCGTCGGATGGAGGCGCCCTCCAGAATTGGGACACTGAACGTAGTCGTAGTTTACACTGTGTGACTGTAATGCTACAAGTTGTTGCAAGTTTACGATTTTTGTAAGCCCAACTCTTGATCAGACTGAAAGGCAAGAAAGCCAAGACTGAGAACCGCGCGGCCTTTTGCAACCCCTGTTATCACAAGAACAATTGCCATTGGACGATCAAAGCTTCTGGTTCGAATGGAAAGCAAGTGCTCTCCGTTTCTTGGGCTTAAACATGTTATTGTTTCGCTAGGCTTCCGTCCTGGCTCCTCCTGTATGTATCAACCCCGATAAGATCAAGCGAGCAAATTCAACCGTGAACCTTAGGTTGGAGGAAAGTGTGTTAAGTTATTGTTTCGCGTTTTTCTGTTCTGACTCCATCTGTATTTATCAACCCTGATAAGATCAAGTGAGCTGATATAGCCGTGAAACTTAGGTTGGAGGAAAGCAGTTTACGTATGAACAGAGCAAGTCGGTCGCGGACGTCGCCCACGACCACTTGTGCAAGGGAGATCCGATCAGCAAAGTCAAAGAGATTGTGGCTACTTAGATTTGTCATTAGATGTCATTAGATTGTTTGTTGCAACCAACGGTCTGCGTTGCATAGTAAAGCGCAAAAAGAGATGCAGTGTTGAGGCTGCCATGCTCCGTGCGCTTCTACCCCCGGAGTCTGCGAACGAGGCTGAGATTGAGAAGGAGAAGAACGCTGAGAAAAGCGAGTCAGGTGGAAAGAGCAAAGCCGCCGGCCCCACTGGAAAGAAGCGGAAAGCTGACGGTGCTGTTGAGATTCCTGTGGCTGCCTCCAGGGCCGCTGAGGAAGGGGAAGGTGAAGAAGAAGATGCGGAGGGTTTCACGGATGACCCGACCATTCCCAATGTGGACTAGACTTGATTTTTTTCAGGTGAGTTTTTGGTGCGCCAGACACTGTCAGAGACGGTTGACGACAAGCTTGGCAGGAGTGTTGAAAACAGTGTGTGTGACCGAGTGTAACCGAGAAGTATTGAATGAAAGATCATTGCTTCTTGCTGTTGCGATGAAGCTCTTCTGAAGTGTTTTCTCGCACTGTGTCGGCTGTTGCCAAAAAGTTTTTCGATGTATGATCGATCGATGTGCTTCTGAAACATGTGAACCATAGGCCCTAGGCTAAACTTTTGGGACCCAAATTTGGGGGGTAGGCAAACAAACAAAGTTCTATTTTTGGCTCGAGTCTTGGGGCTGGCAAAACCAGCCCCCCTTCAGGGTGCACTGTCAATTCTTTAAAGCCAAAAATATGTTCTTCATAGCGCTGGGCAGTCGTTCTTTCTACGCTTTGGAATTTCGTCCTGGTCCTCCTAACTAGCCCTGCACACATGTGACCATGGCGACTAAATCGAAAGATGCCAATTAATCAATTGAAGGTTGGCATCAAAAAGGTTGAACACGCTTACAGTAGATGTTTGAGCAAGTGTTCCTGACGGAACTTTGTGTTATGAAGTGTTTCGGAGGGCTTTGGAGAGCATAGCTCATGGAATGTACAACGATAATGGTTGGCAGCTTGGATTGGGAAGAGTAGGCTAGCTAGTTAAAGGCTCAGCAATGCCGCGGGAGCTGGTCCAAAGGAACCAAGCTGAACATTGCTCATCATAGCAATGACTGGGTCATCCAATCCCTGAACCCCCATTAGTTCCAGACCCCCATTGGCACGAAATTTCCTTTGGGTTAGAATTAGAATTGTGGAGGTACGTGACTTTGGCGTCCCAAAGTTATATCGCATCCGATCAGCTGTTTCTTTGTTAGGCAGCGACTGCTGAAAGGATCACTGCCCCCCCTGCTGTGCTGTACAGAACGGAACGCAAGAATGAATTAAGTTCTCACTTAGACTTGGTGTTAGTTATGTGGTCGCGCTCCTCAGAACCAACCAACACACCAACCAAAGGAAGGAGAGTAACAAAGAAAGGGTGGGTAGCCCACCAGAAACAAACAAACCAAGCAACCAAGCATTTTCCCCAAATGCTGTCGATACTTGCTTTGCATTGGTAGCCCACCAAGCAACCAACAAACCAACCAAAACCACACAACCCTGTGTTCTACCCAAAGGCTGTCGATAATTGGTTTGCATTACAACAAGCTAGCCAACCAACCAACACACCAAGCAAAGGAGGGTGAAAAAGATCGGGTCAAAAAAGAAAGAGTAGAGGGTGAACAAAAGATGGAACCCACGAACCCGAATGCAAACACGTTCCATATGCCCAAATGACACTCTTGCAGGACACTCTTGCGGGACACTCTTCTGGGACACTCTTATGGGACACTCTTGTGGGACACTCTTGTAGGAAACTCTTGTGGGTCACTCTTGTAGGGCACTCTTGTGGAGCACTCTTACGGGGCACTTTTGTAGGACACTCTTGTGGGACACTCTTAAGTCACCCTTACACGACACTCTTGGGAGACACTCTTACGGGACACTCTTGTAGGACCCTCTTGTGGGACACTCTTATAGGACACTCTTGTGGGTCACTCTTATGGGACACTCTTGTCGGACACTCTTGTGGGACACTCTTGTGAGACACTCTTGTAGGACACTCTTGTGGGTCACTTGCCGGACACTCTTGTGGGACACTCTTGCGGGACACTCTTGTAGGACACTCTTGTAGGACACAAGACACACTTGTGGGACACTTGTGGGACACTCTTGTAGGACACTCTTGTGGGACACTCTTGTAGGACACTCTTGTGGGACACTCTTATGGGACACTCCTGTGGGACACTCTTGTAGGACACTCTTGTGAGACACTCTTGTGGGACACTGTTGCGGGACACTCTTGTGGGACACTCGTGTGGGACACTCTTGTGGGACACTCTTGTAGGACACTCTTGTGCGACACTCTTGTAGGACACTCTTGTGGGACACTCTTGTGGGACACTCTTGTGGGACACTCTTGTAGGAAACTCTTGTGGGATACTCCTGTAGGACACTCTTGCGGGACACTCTTGTGGGACACTCTTGTAGGGCACTCTAGTGGGACACTCTTGTAGGACACTCTTGTGGGACACTCTTACGGGACACTCTAAAGGGACACTCTTGTGAGACACTCTTGTGGGACACTCTTGTGGGACACTCATACGGGACACTCTTGTGGGACACTCTATCTGGGACAGTCTTGTAGGACACACGCTTCGAGGCTGCAAGACGAGCGTTTCGTACGAGACTGCCTCCAAAAGTCACACGTCAAGTCTCCAAAACGAGCGTTTCGTACGAGACTTCCTCCAAATATCACACGTCAAGTCTCCAAAACGAGCGTTTCGTCCGAGACTTCCTCCAAAACGAGCGTTTCGTACGAGACTTCCTCCAAAAGTCAAGCGGAAACACCCATCGGAGCACACACATCACGCAGCCCTGCCAAGCAGATTCGCGATTCCAGCCCCTCCAAACAACACCCGCTCACACGCCAATCCCAATGTATACCACAACTCACAACCTCACGATTCCCTGCGCCTGCCACGAATCTTTCCACGTCCACACGTCTAACGCACACAAAGCACTGCGCTTGCCACGAAATGTCACCTCCGTCACACCTCGCAACCTCACGATTCCCTGCGCCTGCCACGAGAATCGCACTTCCACGCCTCAAAGCCCGCGCAAAGTACTGCGCCTGCCACGAAAAGTGAGAATATATTTTCATGTGAGCTTCAACAAAATTTGCACCAAACCACACGTTTGGAATGACGCGTTCTGAGCACACTCCCATCCACCAAAATCCTCATTTCAGCTGAGACTTGTCACAAAAACAGAGCTTCGATGCCACACCCTGAAACGCAAATCCTAATGGCACGGCCACATCCAACACCCCAAAAACACGCCTCTCCTAACACTATAATCCCAATGGAACTGCGCAGCACACTGCGGATCTCACAAACCACTGCGCCTGTGCAGCGAAATGCATCACGTTTCTTGCGCGCCATGTCATTTTCAAGCAAATCACAATGTAATAGCGGCGCAAACTGACACGTGACACATCCATGAAAAGTCACTTGCAAAAGCTTCCCCCAATGGCAGCGCCTTAGCGCTCTACTGACGACGGTCGCGGACGGTTGCGAACGGTTGCGGACGGTTGCGAACATAGAAACAACGGGTCGCTAACAAGGCCCTACCCCCAGGTTAAACGAGAACCCTTCGCTACGCATTTGGGAAAAAGGTTTGGGGGTGAAAAAAGAAGGTTCAGAGGGTGAAAAAGAAAGGTGGAGGGTGGAAAAAAAGGGCGGGGTGAAGAAAGCAGGGTTCAAGGGTGAAGAAAAAAGGTTGCCCTTCAGAATTCAAGCCGGCATGTTTGACTCGCAGGCTCAGCATGGAGTTTTAGAGGAGACTTGGTTCAAAAGCTTGGAATGTCCATCGACACATTGTTTGAAACCTTTGAGTTTGTGCAGGAAAAAAGATCCTCTTGCAGGTCATTGAAGAGCGAGCAGGGTTCTCAGAGGGCCCAGTTCACTGCAGGGTCATCTTGGCTTTGATTGTCAGGCCTCCGTCCGGTGGAACTGTTGGTGGTTCATGGAAAGACGTTCAGGCAGCCCGCGAGCGTGCCGCGCCGATGAGATGTGAAGCCGTGAAGCCACTCAAATTTGGGAGTTTGGTGCACCTGCTATAGATTGCTATAGCTCTCATGTTCCCAGGCCGAGCTAGAACACTTTCGAAAACTTTTCGAGTTCATCGAGGCCTGGAAAAACAAAAACATTTTCATGGAGTTTAGATTTGCGCCGAGTTCAACCAGAATGCAGTTCCTTCGGCATGTACGGTATGTACTCCATGTTTGCACCCGGTCATTAGTTTGGATTCTGCTGACAGAGTCAGAGTCCTGGTAAACAAGGCGGAATCTGGTGTGGAAATGTCCTGATTTTTTACTAGCAACAGCAACATGTACGGGAGAGGTATCAAAAAAATAATAGGCATCAAGAACAAATTGATAGGCATCAAGAAAAATTAATAAGCATCCTAATTATATAGTTCTTCTCTTTGGTACTACCACTACCACTACCACCACCACCACCACCACTACGAATACTACCACCGCTACTGCTACTGCTACTCCCACTACTACAACTCCTACTACTAATACATCTTCTGCTACTGCTACTGCTGCTACTGCTACTGCTACTATTGTTACTACTACTACTACTACTTCTTCTTCTTCTACTTCTACTTCTACTACTACTACAACTACTACTTCTACTTCTGCTTCTACCCATACTTCTGCTTCTACTTCTACCACCACCACTACCACTACTACTCCTACTACTACGACTACTAGTACTACTACTACTACTGCTACTGCTACTACTACTACTACTACTACGACTACTACGACTACTACGACTACGACTACGACTAGGACTACTACGACTCCTACTACTACTACTACCACTACTACTGTGATATTTGTTTGATCTAATTTATTTTTAAAATGATCTCCTCAAAAAAATTGATCCCTATCAATTTTTTTGATCCTTCACCCAACATTTACTGTATGTTATATGTATATATAGTAAATTATAGAAACATTTATATGGCACTCAGAGAAATTCAGTACAGTAAATGCTTTAGCAAAATGTGACTGATTTATTGAAATTTAGGCGAAATTAGGAGATTGACTTGAATGAAGTTTGATGGGCTCCAGTGGCATTCACTGCTGATATACCCATAGGGGGTGAAACAGTTTTGCAAGTAAGAGACAAATAGAAGTCGGAGCATCGGATCATTGAATACAAAATATGTACTTGGTGGCTCCTTCTTGGTTATGGAACTTATAAATAAGTTACAGCAGTTACACCACATAGAAAACTTGTAAGTTAACTTACAAAATTTACAATCTGAGCATTTTGAAATTGCTTTACTAAATTGTCTAAGTTATTTGTAAGTAATTTATAAGTTTTCTAAGTAAAAGTAACTTTCAAAATGTTAGTTTTGTTAGCACAAATTTTTGGTAGTTGCTTATAACTGGTTTACGTTTGGTGTTTCAGAGCTATATAGTACCCCACACATGACAAGCAAACATGGTGGCGGCTCATTGAGCCGCCTATACAAAGCTATAGACTATAGAGCATCTCAGAGCAAAAGTACCCCACACATGACAAGTACGTTGGCGGCTCATTGAGCCCCCGAGCCAGACAAGCGTTTCAATCCGTATTAAAACACATTGTTTCAGTGAAGGCAAAGCAGCTTCTCTGCGTCCAGCTGCAACCACCATGTAGGACTTCGCCCGGCCAAGGACATGTGCAGCATCTGCTGCCCCGGCCAAGGACTTCGCCCGGCCAAGGTCGTTATAAAGCAGCATCTGCCAGGATCGCGAACCCTGTGGGCGGCCGCTTCTCCTCCAGTGCCAGCTTGTATGCGAGGTCTGTGACCATCTTCTCTTCATCGCGCTTCTGCTGTTCGGTCATGACCGACCGAGATGGAGGCACACAAATTTCAAAATGCGCGACCTGAGCTGAAAATTGCTGCCCACAAATACTTTGACAATCGAAACTATACCAAACCTTGGAGAAATGTGACAAGTCATTTTGGTTGTTTGTGATTTTTTGCAAGAATTGCACACTGATTTATACATGATTTATACATAATTTTTACATAATTTTTACATTTTTTATACACGTATAAATTGTTTTTCAATTTATACACGTAATGTTTTTCAACTTATACATTATTTATACACTATTTATACATTATTTATACATAATTTATACATAGTTTTTTGAAGCTATGAAGTGATAAATGCAATGAACAATTGATGCATTTGTTTTGTATATTTGCACGTTACCTTTTTTGCTACGATGGCGGCTTATTGAGCTGCCCTTCAAGAAACGAGACAATGTTGAAGCTATCGTGATGAACGCAATCAACCATTAATGCACAAAGTTTTGATTTTAACCTTTTGCCAGGATGGCGGCTCATCGAGTGGAACCATATCACGAACATTGCAAAGTGGCAATTTTCCGCTTGGTTCCAATATCCACTCGGATTTTTCTGACGATTTAGAAGGTGTCCTGGAGACCCGTTTTTTTGATAAAAAAAAGGGTTCCCAGGACACCTTTCCAATTGAAACCAAAGTGGAAAATTACCATTGCAAAGTTTTGTAGTTGCGTGATGGTCGCAAAGAAGTTCATAGAACGTTTTGTTTATGGGATATAAGCACTTACTGGAAATGAATTTTACCAAATATAAAGTCATGGGGTAGTTTAGCTGCCCATTGGGCCGCCACCCATGTGTAAGTACATGTGCCTCTGTGTAGTTGTGCCTTTGTGTAGCCAGCGCTCTAGAAAAGCAGCTAAATAGAAAACAATCAAGGAAAGCAACTACATAGAAAAAACAATGAAATTTCAATTCTTAAAACAATATTGAACAAGTATAGATTTTTGACATCAAAAAAGTTAAGTTTTCTAAGTTGTTTCTAAGTTATTTTCAATGTTTTTGCAAGAACAACTTATAGTAGATACTAATTTGCCGTCGTTTTGTAAATATACTATAAGTTGCAAAAATTAACTTAAAAACTTACAGAACTTGTCTAACTTAAAAGTAGGTTACAAATATGTTGCAGATAGGTTATAAATAATTTATAAGTTCCATAACCAAGAAGGAGCCACCAAGTAGTTGAAACAATTTGTGATAAGCTAGGGTTTGGGCAGCGAAGTGCGTTGAAGGGCACGAGATGAGAAGGGAGAGGTGCAAGGTGCATGACAGGCCAAATGCAGGAGATGAGAGGCCAAAGCAAAGGATAATTGGTCGGAGATAGGTGAGTGATTGAAAGTACTCGGTAAAGCTAGCATAATTTCAAACAGGCAGGAGCTGTTGGACCAGGAGACTCGGCAGGACGTTGTGAGCAGATACTGCATGGAGCCATAGAGCAATAAACCCTGAACCTTCAATTCAAGCAGAGAACTTTGTGCCGCGGAGTATGCAACCGACCATCCTTTCAAAACGCAATCCTTTCAAATTGCATGTTGATGCAACCGACCAGGGTGTTCTACCCCGAGATGCAGCTGAAGCAATGCGCTTCTTCAATCGTCGGCAATTAGGTTCGCAAGCGAGTTGTGCCGGTGTTCAGGCAAGTAGCATAAGGAAGGAATGTTTGTAAATGAATGCGATTGGATTAAAGGGTAGTCAGACCATCTACTGTCTACACGTACTCAAATTCTTGCAGGAAAAGAAGTGATGTCGCAGATGGTCTCAGAAATTTTTGGTGCAGACGTTGAGTTCCAAAATGCCAAGCCCGTATCCTCAGACATTTGTGGCAGGAAAAAGGAGGTATGCTTGAAATTGCTGAGGTATTGTAAGCCGGATGTTTGATGCCAAGTTCGTTTTTGAAGCTCAGGTTGCAGCTGGAGAGCGACTTCAGGATGCACACGCGGGAGCTCAGACGGGAGCTCTTGGCCCAGTGAATAATCTGATCTGATCTGACTAGAGGATCATGATTATATATGATTATCATAATTACTAAACATTCGCAGCAGATGAAGTGAAGAAGAGAAGGAGAAAAAGACAGCACCATGCATTCAGTAGCATATTGTTTGCGCCTTGGATTCCGAACACAGCATCCCCGAGATTCCACTGACACCAAGTTGCACACTATCGGTATTATTGTGAAAGTGTCTTGAGTGTTTTGGATAGCTTCCAGGTTTGACAAGCTCACATTGGCTATGAAGGCTCTTGCGGAGCAGCCGATGAAGGGAGCCATTAGTCTTGGCCCTTGTTGTGCTTTGTGCGTTCTGCAAGAAATTGGGCAAGGGGGTTACATAGGATGTTTGTAATCTTGAGTGCAAAAAAGAGCCAATTTCAGTTGTAAGGATCCATGTTGCTTTAAATCCTACAAGTCTTTGAGAAAGTGTGCGGTTCATGGAGGCCTTGCAACGAGATACAGAAGGTTCTGAAAGCAAGATTATGGATTTATCAAAGAGGACTGGCTCAGCAATCAACAGGTGCAGAAAGGGTGTGTTTTGAGTTGAGCGCCTGGAAGGATATCTTATCTTGAGGTAGACACCGGAGAGGCCTCTTGCTGTGCTGTTGTATGCTGTATGATTTGGCTGTTGCGGCAATTTTGGTCGAATTTATATAGCATAGATTATGTTTATAGTATATATTATTACAGTGTATGAAATTACTTGAAGCCCTGCCATGTTGAGAACGCTAAGCACCGTAAGTACCGCTGAAGCAATGCACATGCATCACATGCGTTCTAAGTCCGGCAAGTTGCAGAGGTACTCCCATCAGGCAAGGTTCCCACAGAGGAATCCGTGATTTTTTTATATGCTGTCTTGTTTTCTTGAATGAAATAAGTCCTGAAACTGTTGCAGTCATGACTGACTGTTCACAAATACAGAGTGAAAACTGAAGCATGAGCATGATTGAGCATGATCATGTTTCCGTTCATTTGTGCTCGTGAGATTGTCATATCTCGCCATGAAGACTATGAATCCCTGTGTGCGCCCCTTGGCAAGGTTTCTTGGCACTTTGTTGCTAGAGAAGCATCAAAAGCATGCTGCCAAAGGTTTGCAGCATCCCCATGCTGCCCTGTCTTCCACTGGCAGAACACTTGCAGCCTGTGGGGCAGCTTTTGGAGTGCGGAAGTGGTCCCGTGCATATGTTCTTCGCGGGCAGAGAGCACGTGCAGAGAGTGGAGAAGCTGCCGGCTTCACAGGTTATTCTGAAGATAAACTTCGGCAGAACTTCAATTTCATGGCCGTATTATTTGCAGTTAACCATGGTGTCGTCACGACACCGTTGGCCGTCTCTACATCACTCCTGAATCTGGATACGGCTACATTTGGAAATGGGTTGCTTTATGCAGTGACTTTGTTCTCCTCCTTGTTGCTTGGAGCTCCTATTGTCGGACAGTTGGGCCCAAAAGGAGGTCTGACCTTCGGAATGCTTTTCTACTGCTTGTACATTGCTTGCTTCGCAGCATCTTTGTCATCTCTTTTTGACGCTCAGTGGCTATTTACTGTGGGCTCCGCGTGTGGTGGTCTCGCTGCTGGTGTATTATGGACAGCTCAGGGCACATATTTTGCAAGCAGCGCTGCTGAGATTGCAAACGTCTCGAATGACCGTTTTAGCCGCGATGAAGTGACAGCTGACTTGTCTGGACAGTTTGCATTTTCATACTTGCTCCTGGAAGTTGTTAGCAAACTCTTCTTTTCGCTTCTGCAGGCACTGGGCATGGAGGTTTCATACATTGCAGCCATATACTTTCTCATTGGTGCTGGTTCTTTGGCTTTCATGTTTCAAGTCTATGACCTGCCTGGTCCTTCTGATCGTGCCAAGCCCTTGGACAAATTGCTGGCTTGCGTTTCCTTGTGGTCTGATCCAGCAATATGGCTGCTCGCACCTACAAACTTGTCCTTCGGCTTTTGTGCTGCGTACATGAATGGCTTCGTGAATGCAAATTTCGCTGCTCAGGAGCTCGGTCAGCAATCCGTTGCATTTCTTGGAGCCGTCACAGCCTTGACAGCAGCCTTTCTGGCTAAAGCTTATGGCCCTCTCAGCAAATCTGGAAAAGGTTTTGTGATAACCTTAGGTGCAGCAAGTGCAGCGGCAATTCCGCTACTTACTTTCAACGGTTGTCTTGGCTGGGGATGGTGGCTGCTATCCCTCTACTTCTTGCAGGGCTCTGTCCGGGCTGTTTACGAATCCACAAACAGGGCGATGTTTTCAGATTTCTTTCCTGGACAGTCAGAAGGAGCCTTTGCAAACTGCATGTTGCAGTCATCTCTCGGCTTTGCCACATGCTTTTTCCTTCAGAGCTCCCTTCGAGCAGATCAGCTCTCAACCATTATCATTGGTTTGGCAGTGTCAACCTGCCTTGGGTACTACTTTGCGAGCGGATTGCGTCAGGCTGAAAGAGACAGCGCTTGAACTTGCGAGCGCAAAACATGGAATATCTATTATGCGCAATCAAATTGGTTCAGAACATCCTGTGCGTCTACTGGGCGGCACATTAGACCATAGAGTCAGGAAAGAAACCAAATGAAACCGAGTCCAATGAGCGATGGAAAATGGGGGCGGGCAGATGCGCCGATCTTCAGCTAGGGCAAGCCTGTCAGTCAACATTCTTATAACACATATCGCATGAGCTCATTGTAGCTGTGAGGACACCAGAAAAGCAGCAAGCCCGCCGACGGGCATGGGACCAAGAGAGCAGACCTCGCTCTGATGTCAGCCGGTATTATCCGATGTTTTTGTTGTCAGGTTGGGGAACCCAGAAGGCGGGATATCTCTTGCTAGAGGCTTTCTTCTTGCTTGATTTTGCTTGTGGTTTCAAAACTTGAAGTCATGGATGGAATCCATGCCATCAAAGCCACAAACTTTCCTTCCCAGCCTTCTCCAAGTTGTGACGAGTGAATGCTAGTCACTACTTGTTTGCAGGAGCCAGACCAAGCAACAGGTTGGCCGGCAATGATTATGTGAATGAAAGCTGTCAGTCAATAAGTAATCGATGACAATTACAAAAACAGTTAAGGTCCTTAAGGTGCACTATATACCATGCCACGTATAGAGTTACAAATACGGCGGGGGGTGCTCAGATTTGTTCAGGTGAAGAGATGCGGAAAGCATTACAGGATCAGTGGTGTTTCCCACGAGAAACTGCTGGGAGCTTTGCAGTTTTCCGAAGAAGGCATGTGCATCCCAACGGATGCCTCTTGATGCTCCATTCACATGCTAACAAGCTTGGCAGGACTTGCGCCAGGAAGTCAAACATTGGCTGGAAACATTCAAGTCCAGGCCACTGTTTTGCACTCTACACCCGTTGCCAGCTAGAGATGTAAGCAAGCCTTGGTTGGCACCAAAGATTCACCAAAGTCGTTTTTCTTAACTCCCAGGGCCAGGGCCGGTCATAATGCGTTGTACTTACTGTTGTACTGTGGTCATGATATCCATCTGGATCATTTTGGCATACTCTAAAATAATGAGCCGGAAATCGGCCAGTCACCTTGGCAGCCACCCTATTTCCTTGGCTCTTCTGGTGCTTCTTGTCTCGCCTCTTGTCAGTGGCCGTCCTTTGGCTGGCTGTCACGTCTCCTTTCTCGGCTTTGGACTGTCCTCTGACCGTCCTAGCATCTATTTTTTCGGCTTTGGATGATGTAAGCCGAGAGGGTCTCACAGACTCAGTGGTCTCCCAAGGTTTTGAAGTCCCGGCAGAGATCCCCAATCAGTGATTATGCCCTAGTGAACTGACCCGTGGGACTTGGTGCCACGTTGGTGGAACTACACCAAAATCAGCAAGCTTCTGAGTTTCCTGATCGAGCATGTTCTAGGCTCCTGAGATGATGTCAGAAGCATCAGCCCTGGACACCATTCCATAAGTGCAGATTGCTATGTATTCTGTATTGTTGAGCCATGTGTGGTGGGGCAAGAAGGGATTGTTGTACGACATTTGTTGCCGCTTGAATGCATTCAGTCCAATTCATTCCAAATCCAATTCGTCCACTCCTCCACCAAATTGCCATGATCACCTCTCCGATCGCGATCTGGCCTTTTGACTTCCTCGAGGGCAATGAATCATGGGCAAAGTGAGTCAGGATCAGCAGAAAGTAGCGCCCTTGTCCTGAAAATGGCCTTGCAATTCTCGAGTTCCCTCCCTTACGGCAGAGAGAAATCACTCGCTTCGATCGGTTTGGCAGTAGAGAGCTCGATCCTATTTGGTAGTAGGTGGGCCTATGGGGATGCATACTACTCGTAGGTGGGCCTTCTGGGGGCCTCTCACAGCAGCCTTGAACCGCCAAGAGTGCATGTATGCATTTGCATTTTTGTGTTTGTGTATGTGTGTGTGTGTGTGTCAAACCCTGTCCCTAAGGGTCTACTCCACAATCCCATGTTTCCATGCAGGGGGCTCGTGGACGCATGGATGGCACGAGCCAACGAAGACTCATCCATGTCGTCGTGATACCAGACCTGATCAGTCTGGCGTACCTGCGACTTTTTTGAACTTTTGCCCACGCTGTTCCAATCTCTTTTGTTTGTGTCCATGGTGGTTCCACGATACCTCCCCCTAAACCTTTTTCCTTCAGCCGCTTGCAGCCGCCGCGCGTTTTGCAGCATATCACCGCAGTCAAGTGAGAAACTCTCTTGTTCAAACACCTACAAATTTGCGGACTCTCCACCTTGCCGTTCTCTCACCTTCTTTCCACCTGGGAATTGAGCTAACTGAAAACCAATGTCAGAGTGTGAACCGCTCAGCCGTCCCACTTGGGCTTCGGATCCTTCATTCCTTGGATTTTCTTAACTGACTCCTTTTCACCACTGGATCAACTGCCTTTCGAGCCGCCGGGCCTATACGGTTTCAACTCACTGAATAACTCACTGACTATCCTGTTTTGCAGCTTGCCTTTGATTTTCAAGCGTGTGCAGTTGACCTGCGATCACATTTTCACCCACCACTTTTCATGACGTAGATTCGCTGCATGCAGAATTTTCCTTCCACTATCATTTTTGGGACTTTCATTCTTACTTTCCTCAGCTGCCGGAGTGCTGCGCTGGCGCCATTTTGCAGCTGACCGGGCCTGCCGCTGCTGCCGATTCAGCCGCGATGCACTTCCCGTGGCCATACCCTTTTACAACACATCAGCTACCTCCTACCACAGCACCAACCTATCCACTTCCACAGCCACCGCCACATATGCCTTCCATGATTCCACACGCGCCTGCCACTTTGCCGCATTTTCCTCAACCAACATGGCCACCTACGGCCCATTTTCAAGCGCAACCGCCACCACTACCACATGTACCACATCCTCCTCTCACATTTCCTTTTCCATACACATTACCTTCACCCGAGCCCATGCCACCTTCTTCTCCATCAACAGCAACGCCACAACCTGCACCTACTCCTGCTACCCAACCATCCCATCAGCCAGTACCACAACAAACGGCAGCACAATGGGACCCCCACCTTTGGCAACCGTTTTCTGCCTTCCCACCAGTTGTACAACCTGGCCATGCCCACCCGGCCACAGCATCAGCGCCTGTGGAACCCTCTCACTCTACGGAATCACCTTCGCCTCTCACTGCTGCGCACACTGTTCCACAATCACCTGTCTCTACAGCGCCCTCTGCACCCGACGCAAGCCACACAGCAGCTACAACCGAGCAAATATCCTCAGCCACACTCCATCCACCTAACACTCCTCCACCTTCCACTCCAGCGGGATCAGTTCACTCTGACACAGTCAACAACACACAACCTACTGATCCACCTCCATCTCACCCCAACGCTTCGGCACCACAACCACCACAGCCACTCAATCTCCACCGCCGCCGCGAACACGGCCGCCGCCATCGCCGCCGCACACACCGCCAGCAACGAACTACACACCAGCATCATTCCTCACGACATCATCGATCACGATCCCCTTCAACCTCCTATTACTCTTACTCTTGCAGCCGATCGTTCCAGACGACCCATTTCACTCCTTCCTAACACTGACTCACTACAACAGGATGCAGTTTCCACACAGTCACAAACCAGCTATCCTACCATCCCCGCTCTCCGCAGGGTCGCCAAACCTTGGCGACCCCCACCGCAATTCCAACAAAAAAACTCCACAAGAGCAGTTGGAGCTTCGGCTTGATTATCATGCCGATCAACTTGACGCACCCAACAAGCCCCAACACACTTATATCGCCCGTTTGCTCTTGGACAGCGGCTTCACATACAAAGACATTTGCGACTACCGTCAGTTCACCCACATCAAATGGAACGACGCTACCAACAGCCATGACATTTTCCAATTCCACTGCATTTCCATTCCTTGCCTGGCGCAGAAAGCAAGTCGCCGATTTCCACCACCAGCCGCACGAGCTACATCCACCTCACCAGAGCTGGTCCACATCAATGCCAGCCACACTGGCCCAGTGGGTAACATCACCAACATTCTTCAACAGGGCCGCTTTCTTCCCAGCACCCTCCATTTTCCTAACAACCCAGGCTTCTTCTACAGCACGACAACGCTGAGCAGGCTCGCATCCTCCACAATTCTTGGAACCTTGCCAAGAACACCCATTCCATCCTTGTCACCCTGGTAGCCTGGGGACAAGGCACCAAATTCACCAGTGGTGGTGAAGAACAGGCTATGAACCTTCTTCTACAGCACCATGGCGCAGTCTTTCACGCCAAAGGCCGCAGCTGGGTCATTCACCCAGAAAACGCTATGGTCAAGGGCCTTGCATGGTCCGTCAACGCAACGCCGCCAGCAACCTGAACATCCACGGCAACACCCTTTCACTACCATCGGCCACCTTTTCACCTGTTTCACACCACAGCACATACCACTCGCTCAGCGAGAAAAATCCGAGACCTGCCAGAGTCAGCGTTTTCGCTATGAATTCAGACCATGCGCGCAGACTGCGTGAGTTCACAAGAGTATGTAGATTCTCGGGATGGTTTTCTGTTCTGTTGATTCCTTAAGTTTCGGGTGTTCGCATGTTGCATGTGATGAGACCAACCTGTTTCGCTTGCGTTTCCCTGCACTTCATGTTTTGTTGAAACCTTGAGATAGAGATTTCCATGAGGCCTTTCAGACGGCACATCGTATTCCCGCAAAATTCGTGCTCGATAATTCATTTGCAAAGCCCAGCCGACCTTTTCACGCTGCTTTCGCCGCTGCGCTATACCAGCCGCGCTGCTTAGCTGCTGTCAACGTCAGCTTATTGGCACAGCCTTAAAAGCGATGAGCAACAGCCCAGAACATGTCAGTTTGATCCACCGCGCAACCATTGCTCTGACGCAACTCCACCGCCTTCTTCAACAGGCAACAGACATCCTGGCTGACCTTCACAGCCTTTACCTGCTCCACACTGGACAGGTTGACAACCATTTCCAACGTTCTTTTCCTCCTCTCCCGGCACCTCCCTCTTTCACCATTCCTTTACCTTCTCCCACATCCTCTTGTGATTCAGCTCCAGCACACCAACATACTCCAGCTCCACGCAAACCATCAGCATCTCTTGACACTACTTCCCCTTCTCCTACACCACAGCGACCACAACCCAAGAAACGACGCGAACCAGCACCACCACTGAACTCCCAAGCGCATTGGGATGCTTGGGATCGGCGACGCTGACTGCCGTCTCGTTGAGCTGAAGACAGATCTTCACCTCCGCCCCAACTGGAACTACGTTGCCCGACGGGTTGGCTTTTCCATCGAACAATGCTGGCAGGAACTTCAAGATCTGCAACGACTCCAAGAAGCCTCCACACGATCTCACCCTTCTCCGCAACCTTCTCCAATAGCATCACCAGCTATCTCCCCTACTCCTACATCGCCAGCACGCACACCACCAGCAATTTCTCCTCCACCACTTTCTGAAGCAGACTTCTCCACCTCTCAACCACCACATCACACTCCACCTTCTGCTGCCGCGGCGTCTCCAGTGGCGGCTGTGCGAGCGAACAGTGAGGACAGACATCCAGAATCGGCAGACGACCAATTTCTGGGTAGCTATTTTGTGTGACATATTCACGTTTCACTCAAACTTCTCTAGGCGCGCTGCCGCCAACAGCATTTTGTCTCATTGATCGGGTTTTATCTTTCGAACTTATTTTGCTTCGATTCTGAACATTTCATTTCCTTGACCTTCAGCCAGATTTGATTCATGTTCTTTCTCTTTACTGATGATACTGCAGCCCTGTGCCCTTGAACTCGAACTTTGGTATTTCATTCGACTGCCTACGCCGCCAAAAACATGGCCTCCGATCATTCTGCAGCTGCTGATGATACATTTGC